GGTGGTCTCCACAATGACCGCGTTTTCAAACTCACTCAGGCGATCAATTCTTGCAATTCAGAGGTGGGAACTTCAGCATAGGTGACCGCTCCAGAGCACTCAATGCAAGAAAACACAGTTGAGTGTGATGACTTGGCGGTACCATCCAGTCATTCTCATTAAGGGAGACAGTGAAGCCACCAAGAGATCACAAGTCTGAAAACAAGATTCAAAAGCATTGTACTCAGCATACGGACGCCTCCAGGTGGCTCGCACTGCCTTTGATAGTGTGGGCGACAAGAGTGCACACCTCTCCAAAGGCTCTGTGCAGCAATGTGCCTGAGCAGTACTGGAGCATGTGCATAGACACAGCCAGGCATTTCTGCCATGGTGAGCGCGAAGCAGCCTTGAAAGGCAGCGTATTCCACTGCAACGATTGTGTGGGGGAGCTTGACAATTTGTTGTGGCAATATCACCAGGTCGGAGCCGCAGCATTGAGAAAGCCTCGTTTTCGACCAGGAGGTCCTCCAGATGATGAACACTAACTGGCGGATTTCATGTCAGTGCCTGCCATTCACCTAGTACCTCTGTTTAGAGGAACTTTTCGTTTTTCTGTCCTTGAGCAGGGATCTTCCTCGAGTGTTCTCTTTGACCACCTTTGCAGGACCAAGTGGAATGCCAGAAGTGGCTGGGAGCATGTCTAGAGAAGCCCTAAGGATCGAGCTGTAGTGCTTGAGATGTTGCGATCGCCTCCCTTCAAAACTCCTATCAATCACAGGCTGCGCTGCCGAATCTGGTACCGACAGTTTGGAGCTATCGGGAGCAATTTGCGGTGATTTTCCTTGGTGCCTGTTCAATGCTGCAGAGGAAAGCCTTTACTTCGCTTTGCGTGAAATAGGCTTGCACCTTTGAATGCGCGATCATGTAAGCGTAGCTTGCGATACTCGCCAAGTGCAATTGCGTGCGCAGCGTGCTGACTCAGGACGCCTTGCTGCCTGCAAGGAAGAACTAGGAATGATGAGGGACAAAAATGAGGAATGAAGAAAAGCAAAACCTCGTGGTCCAGCTGAACTGAGAGCCGGTGTTTAATTCATTGCCCCTGTCTCACCTCCTACTCTTTTGGTCTACATGACCGCTTGAGCTACATACCAGGTTGCGGCGTAGTTGGGTTTGGTTTTTGTCTGGTGTTGTTGGTTTTGGATTCTGCTGGTGTTTTCTTTGCTTCGCAACCTGGCTAGTAACTCTCTCTTCACTAGCGCAAGATGACCTGTGCAATCTCTGCACACATGGCGTCTCCACCCGTGCAAAAAAAGATCGCTGTTGGCGACCCCAGAGTCGCGATTTTATGGTGCTGTCAGGTTGATGCTTCCTCGTTGATGTGGGGTGGGGTGGGGTGGGGTGGGTGAGGCGTGTTGACGTTCGCTTGCACTTGCGTCACAAAGTTGATGCTTCGTGGTGTGTACGGGTGGGTGGGGTGGGGTGGGGTGGGGTGGGGCATGTTAACGTTCGCTTGCACTTGCGTCGCGAAGTTGATGCTGTTCGTCGTAGATGTGGGGTGGGGTGGTGTGACGCAAAACGCGTCGATCAATATGTCCGCAGTGTTGAGCTTTGGTGGAACAACCGAGGAAATTTGCTTGAGGCGTTGGCGAAAGTGGGGGCAAGTGTCAAGAAGATACACCTGCAAAACGCATGTGCGCCAAAAAGAGTGCACTTTTTGCTCTTCCCCATTCTAAATTCCACCTTACAAGTCCTGACCCTTGTAAAAAAAGGGTTGAAAGCACACATGATCCAACCTCTCCCAAATGAAAAAAAAACTGGGAGGTTTTGAGCGCTGTCCACTTTGGCAATGTGTGAATCGCATGGGGTCACTATTGGCGGCGGTACCTCGTTTTTGCAAAGATGTCTTTGAGGGTTTCATGGCATGCGTGGGGTTTTGTTCAGGCACACACCGTGATCAGACCTTTTGTCGGATATGTGCAACGAACCACTTTGACATTTGGAGAGGCAGTTTTGTGGATTGGTGTCAAGTTGGATTGTGAAATGTGGTCCAACATCGCTTTGGTCATGTCCTTTTAACATTTGTCCCGCCTGCTGTTTCCTGGCGTGCTAAAAACCCCACAACCATAAGGAACTACTCCGCTACAATCAGTCTATGTGGGTTCAAGTTCCACGTTTTGTTGTTTCTTGCACTGTTGCAGTGGTTCATGGTTTCTGAAAAACTAGGCAGGCGAAACCGTGTCGGGCATGATGTACATTTTTGAAATCGTTACCTCAGATGCTTGAATTTGGCGCGCATGTTTGCTCCTTAGAATTCTGGTATCCACCCTTGCGGAAGCATCTTCTTGTGTGGAAGCGGTCGCATCCAATATGTTTGTCGATTTGTCGAGTGCTTCCAAACAGAACTCGATGACCATCTACACACCCACACCTCATTGTTTAACTTTTGGCCGAAATGTGTGACGTATTTCTTTTTTGCGCATTCTTTTGCCCTTTCTATTGAGAATATGTGCTTGAAAAGCGGACCTCCAAATTGAGGGTTATCTAGAATAGTTTCTGCATCCCGGAATCCGAGAACAAAAAGTACACGATTTCCTTCAGTTTCTCAGTCCACTGCCACTTGATTAGCGCAACATTTTCAGCTCAAAAAGAGGATCGAGAGGATGGAACGATTCATTTGCAGCAATGATGCAACGAGAGGAGCCAAAGAAAGCTTCTTAAATTTCACCGCGGACGACTGGCTCTGGGAAAACTTTTCCTGTTGTGGGAGCAATCTACAGCGTTGTGCCAAAGTTACCCGCATTGATTCACATGCTGGCCCACCTGCGCCATCAGAAAGACCACTTATTCGGCGGCCAAAGAAGGCTGTTCCAAGATCTCCTGAACAGAGCCGAGAATCTCAACCTCTCCAGGCTGTTCCCACCTCTTTGTCTCCCGGGAGATCTCCAGGATTCTTGACTCAAGGCATTTGCACTGCGGATGTGAGTTCAAGTCTACCGCTTATGGAAAGGCCATCACCAAGCAGGCATTCAAAATTTGTGGGAGAAACCGGTGGCCTGGCTAAACCAATGGCAGCTTGTCATGAGAGCGAATCGCCGCCTTACATTGACTGGACTAGCACTTTTCCACCTTTACCTTCAGTTCAATCAGAAGATCCTATCAGAGTTGAATCCTTGCATTTAATTAGTGACACTCTTGTAGAACCTGATGAGGAACCTGATGAGTCTCCAGAGGTTTCAGAAAACGAATTGAAGAAACCGGACGTTCCTGGAAGGACCAGAGTTCTAATGGCCAGTGACGATGTAGGAGAACACCGTGAACGCAAATGCAAGTCTCAGCAAGATTGCCTTACCAGGATTCAGGCTTGGTTTGAAAAGTGTGGGTTGGAGAACACTTCTGTAGCTGCAGATACGCGGCAGTTTGGAGAGTCTGCCATGTCTTTTGCTGAGTGCTGCCAGCCTGGTGACACTTGTGCTTTGATCTTAAGTGGCATATTTGCTGAAGTACCAGAGGAAGAGCGTACCGAGGTCGCTGGAACGCCAATTCTGTCAAGCTTTTTCCAGGCATTGCCTCTGGGGACCACGGTCGTCATTTTGGCTGATTCCGATCGTGCTTTTACTGGAATGGACTTTGAAGCGGCGATGGACCGTGAGGTGAAACTGCTCGTTTTCGCTCTGACATTTTCGGAAGAGGTTTCAACTCAGTCACGGTCTGCTTTGTGCAACTTGGCAATGCTGCAAGCAGCTGATGCTTTGAGTTTGGCAGATGGGCCATGCAAGTTGACCTGTTTAGATTTCTTCCAAGAAATGATAGAGCAGGCTGAAGATTTGGCCTCAGACTGGGGGCTCGCTCAGCCAAAGCCATTTTTGAGAGGCATGCCAGATGATTCACTTCCTTCAAGTACGCGGTGGCCATTGTCTCGTGCACCTCGAGAGCTCGCCAGGGAGATTGGAGCAAACAACACTGCAGCCACACAGACCTGGATTCGCACAGGGGCCGTACCTAGAGCTCTGCCGGAAGCTTTGAGCACTTTGAGTGTAAATGGTCTGGGGTACTTGGGCACTTTGCACTGTGTCCACGGTCTTCATGGGTTGCAGTGTGCACAGTGTATCCCTGAGCTGCATCGCCCGCGCCCGCGCAGTGAAAGCCCACCACGGGAACGACAAGCAGCAGCAGAGCAGCTTGCTGCTGCAGGTGCCTCCATTGCATCTGCAGCACTAGCAGCAACAGCTGCTGCAGTTGTTGAGGCCGGTTCTGCAACAGTCTCGGCACTTGTTGATGTCCAGCACTCAAGGAACTTAGCTCGACAACATTCAAGAAGCCTAGGAGTCCAACATTCGAGAAGCTTGGGGCACCAAGGGTGCACTCAAATGCACAAGTCATTGTCGTCTGAAGGACTCAGAGACACATCTGTAGCTGACACAGGCCGCTCAAGTGAAGAGCAGAAGATCCAAGTGGAGAGAGCCGAGAGAGCGGAGAGAGGCAGACGGCAAAGTGGAACAGACAAAGCCGTCAAGGCTGCGCCTGCGAATCGAAGCTTGCGCTCAATGCCAAATAGTTTTGGAAGTCTGGAACTGATGCTTTCTGGAGGCGGAGTTCTGAAGAAGCCGAGTCTCAAAAGGTCAACCACAGCCAGGTGACTGGAATCCGAACTGATCGAAAGGAGACGAGATGAGCATAAGAAACATTCAGTAATTTCTGCTTCCTCCATCAATCTCAGTTCAACTGACTTTCAATTGCTTACTCTTGCTGCAGCAAAAGACTGCTGAAAAGCCTGAAAGGGTTCTTAGAGATTCTGGTTTCACTGACAAAGATGATCTGAGTGTGATTGAGCGGAAGAGGATCAATCATGTGCTTGCACACTGAGTTCGACTGCGAAGGCTGAGTGGTGATGGTCAGAGCACAAGTAAGAAGACTACCTCAGTGACAAGTTTTGCAGGACCGGCTCAGCGGATTTGTATAGCCGCAGCATTGCAGCAGCATGCTTAAAAACGGCAGGGTGCTTGTTCAAGAGTTCTAAGATTCGAATCTTGAAACCTTACCCTTGTTTTGGCAGTTCTTTTTTGTTGACTGAATCGTTCATTTTTCTTTTGTGCTAGAAGACATTGAGGAAGACCACTTTATATAGTTTCAGTCGTCAGATCTAAATACACTGGCCATTGCATGATCTTAACGCGTGCGCTCTATTTGGCATGGGCAGAGCCCTCAGGTTGCATTGTTGAAGAACATGTGTTGTAGTCTTCACATTCTTAGAGTCTTAAAGCCTTTGGAGTTTAGGAAGCACCCCTTTTTGCAATTTTCTTGATCAAAGTACCTTTACCAAGGAGCGCTACAAGCTCTGCTGATATTTCTGCTGGCCCGCATCACTGGCAACTCCCAGGCAGCTTCGCCGCACTTGATTTGAAAGTGGCAGGTTCCGGGCGTGCAGCTGCCTGTGGATGCCTTTGTGTTAGCAGTTGACCTGGGTTCCCAGTCGAAATCTCAGAAAGTCTCACTGAAGTTGCCTCACCAGAGCTGTCAATCCAGTGTATCCCAGTCTTTTGAAAACCTGTGGCAGGTTCTTCAAAGCTGCACTAGTGGCGCCAGGATGGCATCTGCCTTTGTTCATCTCCTTGCTTGCCACCAACTGTACTTTCGGTTGCGTGTGCGACACACCCGTTATGTTAGGACATATAGTCTTTTTTTCTTAGGCAGAAGCTGGTCAGCTAGTCTTCTTGGCTTCTGTGTTTCTACAACTTTTTTTTTACTTCTCATAATGATTTTATATACAGTAAATGTGCGCAAGAGTAGCAACGCAGAGGACAGTTCTTTATAGTTCTTCAACAAAAACACAGACTTTATATTTGATTGGTTTCGAGCATTGTACTGGTTGAATGATGCCACCAGGTGGCTGAGTTGTTTGAACCATAATTGCAGTGTTTTCTGATCATTCTTGAGTGTTGGATTTGAGGCTGGCTGGAGTTTGTCTATTTTGGTGGGGGTACCGTGTACTATATATACATAATACAAATACATATGATGTGGTGGCGTGGAAGCTGATCTGGTGTTCGGTTTTGTGTGTGTATGATATATATATATATATGATAGCACGTCCTCGTTGTTTAAGACGAACTAGGTGATGAGTGTTCTTCCGTAGGGTTGGGCTCAAAGCAGATGTACCCTTGTAAACTCTGCGAGATTAGGACCGCAGAGCCTGAGGGTATTTGCTTGTTTTGCCGGTGCCGGAACCGCTTTTGGCATTCCTTAGACCGCGTGCCTGTGAGAGCGCGGCCTTGGGCTCTCACGAATCTCCGGGTTTGGACTGGAGTGATCGAAGAGGAGTGCGAGAAGATCGGAGAGGCCGACGCCGCTCGGCAGCGGAAGGCACTACAGCTCCGAAGAGCGCTCCACCCTCCAAAAGCGAGAGCACTCCTAGAGAGGGGAGGTTGGACAAGGAAGACAAGAAGCCCGACAAGAGGTGGATTAGCCCCAAGAAAGAGGAAGAGCGTGCAGGGGAGAGGTATTCTCCTAGAGGAGTCGTGGACATTGAGGAGACGGAGGAAGGGAAGACTTCGAGTGGATCAAAAGTCCACAAAGAGGTTGTCAAGACCTCGAAGTCGCAGGAGAAGGGACCGATCGAGAAGTCAAAAGGAGCAGATCCAGGAGAGATCGTCGAGGAGACAAGAAAGAAGAGGCTGGAGGAAAGGAGCGCAAGGCAAAGCCATCGGTGAGGCCGCCAAAGACTCCTTCGAGATCACCACCAAGAGACAGGGGAGGACCACCTCCTAAGGAGCCACCAGTGAGGCGTGAAGGACCACCTGAGCCAGTCGCCAGACCATCAGGTCGAGCTTGGAACGGGCCGATCAAAGCGTGGCATCGAGCTCCCCAATACTGGGGCGTCAACAAAGGCCAGAAGAAGAAGGAGAACCAAAACTACTACCGGAGGTAGTAGTTGGTTCCTCGACGCAAATCAATGGCATTGAGAAGACCGGCTGCACGACCTCGTGGAGCTGGAGTTGAGAGAGGAGAACCTCCTAAGGAAGGGGAGGAGACGTCAGAAGAAGGCCTGCAAGGGCACACCACCGAGAAGAGGCAAGAGAAGAGCCGGCGCCTTTGGCCGGTGAGGGCAGAAAGGAAGAGATTGGGAAGGCTTTTGAAGAAGGCACGTTGGTACCATGCCATCAAGTACCACTAGAAGTGCTACGGAAGCGCCTCCCAGTGGAAGCCAATGGCATCTACTGGGGACAGACTGGAGGCATTGCAGCCCTGATCCAAGGAGTCCACGTGAGGGGACGCGACGACGTCGAGCTGGAGGTTATGGTGCAGGGGACCAACCTCGAGTCCATCCTCAAGTGGGCGACTGGCTCCGAAGACAAGGTGATGAGGGTTCATCTTTGTGGAGGGAAGTGCATCAGCCCCTCGACGCAGAGAACCTCCTCCACGGCGAGTACATTTGTGCCCGCAAAGGAAGACCTTCCATGGATGATGAATCTGGTGGTAGAGCCAGCCGGAGGGAGAGAAGCAGAGGCTGTGGAACCTCCTATCGACAAAGAGAAAGGGGAGGAAAAGAAGGAGAAGAAGAAAGCGAAAGAGAGAGAAGGAGCAAAGATAAAGATCGAAGCCGCAAGAGGAAGCGCAAGAGGAGCAGCGGAGGAAGTTCAAGAAAGGAGAAAGAAAAGAAGAAGGTGTCCCTGCGAGGAGAGGCCAAGAAGGATCTGAAAGTGATCTATGGAGGGACGGGCATTCAGACCCGAACCCCCGCTTCCGACGCAAGTACGCAGCCAAAGCAGCAAAGAAGGCAAAGAAGAAGGGGCACAGTTCCTCGTCCAGCCACACGTCAGAGACCAAGAGCGAAAGCGCCTGCGAGAAGAGCGTGGAACTGTTTGCCGAAGACCAGAAGATCCGGAGGCTTGGAAAGATAGCGCCGGGAGCGCTGACCTGTGCAGCGTTCCGCGACATCCAAAGCTCCTTACTGACAGCCAGTGGCGGGGTCTCGGACTCCGAAGATGGGGTGATCCCGCCGGTTGCGTGTCAATATTACAGGCAGAACATGCAACAGAGGCTGCAGGGAGGGCAAGCTCGCGAAGCGCTCACCGTGGCACGGTCGCTAGACCTCCTATTGCAGGGGAGGGCGGCCGAGGCATGCGACGTCCTGACGCAAAGGCTCAAGAGCCTAGAGATGAGTGGGGCTGGCGCTGCGTGGATGGTGGCGCAGAAGGTGGAGTTAGTTCCACCGGAACGCCCTGTTCTCAGCTTGAGAGCGGAAACAAGGGAGGCGATCCGAGAAAGTCGGGAAGAACAAAAGACTTGGAGTGAGGCTGCAAGGCCAAGGGGCAAAGGAGATTCAGGGACTTCCTCGTGGCGCGAAGAGGATCGAGGAAAAGGAAAAGAGAGCAGGAGCAAAGGGAAGAAAGGCAAAGAGAAAGGGGACGGCAAGCGGGCCGAGAAGTAGGTGAAGCACGCTCGCATCCTATGAGCCCCACTCCAGAGGAGGTTGACTTGGCCGCTCGAGGACAAGCGCAGTTTTCCAGCAACAGTGTGTCGGCACACCCGGATGGTGATGGCGCACTGGGTACAGAAGGACGACCTTTGTGTCCTGAAGTCCCGGGCCAGGGCACCATCGGTGTCAGCGGGATCAGATGCACCGAACTTGCCTGCCGGATTCTCACGGAGCTGAGTGAGTAGGGCTGTGCTTGAAAGATGTCCCGGTAGGAGTGACCGGAGCTGCGGTTGGCAGGGGTGGCGCAGTTCAGAGGAAGCCGGTGAACTTTCTGACAGTTCGAGATGAACCTGCTATGGCCCCTGGCCTACTATACATCCACGCCAAGTCCTACTGTGCCTATTGCGGCTCTCAGGACAAGCAGCTTGAAGCCAACCGACCACAATGCAGTCGATGCCTTTGTTTGAATTCGCTGACAGGCCTGAGACCGTCCAGAACTGGTTCGATGAAGACTTGGAGTATGATGCTCACACTGAGGACCAAGCTCATCTGGCGACATCCCGCCGAACCAAACCGAACTGGAAGAAGCCTGGAACAGCACTACGTGGAGAGATGACGAGGTTCATCGCCTCGACTCCGACTCCATGCCTGAGAATACTATCCAGTCACTCGTCAAGAGCATTGCTGGATGGTCAGAGACAAACGAAAGCTGGTCATGGTTGACTTTGAGCAACTATGAGATCGACGACATCGAGGGCACTTCCTTCGACAAGAAGATCGTGATCTACCACGCCAGCGCTCAAAAGAAGAAAAGACGACCAAGTCCAAGAGCTCTTCGTCGACACCGAGCTCTTTACACCAAGTACAAGCCAGAACAGGTTTGGCTAGTGAGACATGGACGAGATGATGCTTTCGTCTGTGGATGGGATGGCAGCCCACCCGAATTCCAATCACTTTTTCAAGGTCAACAGCATTTTGCTTTTGCAGCTCACCTCACGGAGTGGCAAGAAGCTTTAGCATCACCAACAACCACCAGTTCCAGCATTCCTTCTTTGGAGGTTTTTGTCTCAAGCAGCGACAACTTCAGACAGCTGCCCTCGACTTCAGACAAGGAGGACGCTGGTTTGAAAAGAGCCCAGCGACAGGCTCTCAAGCGAGAGATGCCTTCGTCGAGTCAATGGTCAAGGAGTGGGCCGAATGGCAGAAGCGGAGCTCTTGTGAGCGCTTCAATGGAGATGAGAGCACCATGCCACGGCCCCTCATCCTACCAGCTCGTGTATGCTATCGCTGGAAGCCTTTGGACGGAGGATCATCCTACAAGGCAACGGCGCGCATCGTTGTGCAAGGATTTCGTGATCCTCACCTTCCTCTACTTGCGTGTGATGCTCCTGTTTTGTCCCGTTGTGGACTCATGGCCATACTCCAATGAGCTGTAACAACAACTGCCGGATCGCCGAGCTGTAACAATAACTGCCGGATCGCCAACGGCGATTGCAAGTCAGCTTTCCTACAAGGAAAGCCAGATCATGAGAGACCCTGCCAGATCTACATGAGATGCCCGCAGGACCAGATTGCCCTGGATGCAGTCACGGAGTGGAAGCAAAATCTACAACAGCTCTATGTGCTGCATGCCCCGGTCTATGGACGAGCCAACGCTCCGAGGCAGTGGTTCTTACATGTCTGTGACGTGATGACCGGCCTTTCCTGGCAGCAGCATTCTTTGGACCCCTGCGTGTTCATCAAGCGCAGTGGTGACACACCAGTTGCTGTGTTGTGCATCCGCGTGGACGACATCCTGGCAGCCGAGTTGGAACCAGGTCATTTGGCTGAGGTTGAAGCCTCCTTCAGTTGGGGAGGGCCATGGGAGTACGATGATTTTGTTTTCATCAGTTGTCGCATCAAGCGACACGACGACGGCCGAGTCACACTCAGCCAAGACCACTACGCCCAGGACGTCATCATCAGCAAGGTGAAGCAGGACCCTGACATGCCCGTGAAGGGCGACGAGAGGCTCTGTCCGAGTTCCGCTCTGCCATAGGCGGCCTTCAATGGATGGCAGGCACGACAAGGCCTGACGCGGCAGCAGGCAGTGTTGCGCTACATCAAAGCAACAGCCAGCAGCTTCATTGTCATGAAGCCCATGGACACCGAGAAGATGGTGATCGTCACCTACGGCGACGCCGCCTTCGCCAATGCCCCAGGCAACAAGTCACAGGGTGGCTCTGTGACGGTGGCTTGCAGGGAGGATTCCCTCCATGGAGAAGCAGACGCTTCCCTCTTGGACTGGAAGAGCGGCGCCAACTTCGTGGGCGCTTTCGTGGGAGAACTCTTCCTCCCTTGCTACGTGGCCTCACACTCGGGGAAGAGCCCTTTCCCGATTTGGCCGGTGACCGATGCCAGGTCACTCTACGATGCCATCCACAGGTTGGCTACCTCTTTCGCAGAGAAGAGGGTGGAGATCGACGTAGCAGCCCTTCGGCAATGCTGTAGGAGCTTGAGGTGGGTCCCCACAAAGTGATGCTAGCAGATGGCTTCACCAAGCGCAGCCGCGCCCTTCGAGACAAGCTTCGACGATAGCAAGAAGATCCGAAGATCAGCCTGATCGAGGCCAAGGACGCTCATGACGACAATTTGCAGGGACCATGGCGTTCACAGGCAAAAGAAAGTAAGACCAGTGCTAATGTGGAGTTTCATGTCACACATGTTGCCATGTGAACGCCGGCCGTCGACCTTTCGACTCAACTCCACCATAGGGTGGGATACACACTTGTGCGCACGACACGCGCTTCGTCGCGACTCGAGCATGGAGAAAAGCTGAAGCGTGCTCGGCTAGAGATCCAGGGACATCCAGGCTCCACAACCTGGAAATCGCATATATACACGTGTTTATTTTTTACTATTTTAAATTATTGTTTTTATTTACTTATTGTTACTATATATATATATATATTTGCTTTGTTTTGTTTTTTCTTTAAATATAGTTTTTAGTTCGTAGTTTTTGAACTTAGTGTATAGTGGGCTTGGATCTAGACAAGAACTAGTTGGAACTAGTTGTGTTGTGGCTTGGAACCAAGAAGGAAGAGCCGCGATTGATTTTTGCACGTTTCAAACTATTGAGTAGCCAAATGACCTTTGACAAATACCTCCTTTCAGCCTTGGTAGGGACTTTTCTGATATTGATGCATGTGATATAGTAGTCGGCAATAGTATAGTATAGTAATGTGGACATTCTTATTGGTACAGTTGCCAACTTGCCAGTATTGAACCTTGCAGTTACTTAAGCTTCTGATTGTTTTGTAGAGAATTAATTGCAACAGAGGCTTGATTTTCCAGTTTTTCATGATGAACAGCATGGTACTGCTATTACCTTACTTGCGGCATTGACGATGGCTTCAGATATTCAAGGTAAAAAATTGATCTTACTGTAATCGGCAGTAGCCCAGGAGCTGGGGCTTTGGTGTATTTAATTTATATACAGTATATATGAATTTGTTGGTATATTTATGGCATCAACATTAAGATGTTTGATAGCAAGGGTATTATTTCTCAACATTGTATTGATGAAATTTACTTTGACAATGCAAACTCCCAATAACACCTTTGTTTCTTTTGGACCATAAGGGATGTCTGTAGTGGGAACACCTACTGTAATATGGAGAAACCTAGGGCAGCAAATCCAATAATCTGCGCTAAATCTAGCCCTATACAATACCTGAAATCTTTCTTGAGGATGCATCTAAGGTGAGACAACATGCAGTTCCTCCTGAGAGATCAGATTACTTGAAGCAGATTAAGCATCCAAAGTATACTGTATTTTTAGAGGTCTGCTGGATGCAAGGGCGAAGAAAGTTACAACAAGTATGACAACTGATGTTCTAAGAGCTATTGTGGAAGTTGCCACATTGGATGTGCCTGATATAGAAAAAACAACAGATAGCAGAGAATATATGCACTTTGGAAAAAAGATATCATTACTATATTGTCCTTTTGATCCTAGAAAAGCTGTCAGACAGCTTCCATTATGTTGTCATGGAGGCTTTCTGACGTGCAACTGCTTTCTAGATGAGCTAAGGTCACTACATGTCGAGCTTATGATATGGTATTCAAAGCATCCTAGTTGTGCGATTGCTTTGAGTCATATCCCTTGTAATGTAGTGTTTTGCACTGTGTCTCATATCAGTGTGTGCATCAACTTATTGAAAAACATCTTGTTTTCTTCGGCAGGATTTCCCTTTATGCCTCTGAAATAATGTTGTATTTACTAATGAAAAGACCCATTATATAAGGCTCCTTTCAGATTGCAAAACAATCAAAGGTATAGTTAGGTTAACATTGCAGTACCACCCTGAATTGCCTGATATCTTGACGTATGCCCAAAATGGTCAAGTCAATATGTAATGGATACAAGATACTTCTCATACTGATGGTAATTAATAATTATATAATAATGCATTTAAAGTGCACAGCACAATCCACGATATGCCCAAGAGATGCTTTGAACTCTATCCCTGGGTCCATGCCAGTAGAGAGGCTTACAGCGACACAGATGCCTTTTTAAAAATGTGCGTGCTTGCAGCCAGTGACACAGGGATTTGTTGACAGGAAGACCCTTTGAAGTGGTGCACAACACCCACTCGAAGCGCAAGACACCCACGGCCGTGTCTCTGGCTTTCATTGAGTCTCCAATTTTGTCAAGATACGTTAGGACGCCTAGTCCAAGATTTCTCTACTCTCATGGCCTGTGCCAGCAACCCACCTACTGGAGGTTGGCAAATAAACTCATATACATGTTCAGGGCAGGAAAGACAGAGGGAGGCGGAAGGGGCTGTCGGCATGCATGTAAACTGGGAGACAAGCGGAATACAGATTCGGACAAGACGAGGCTAAACGGCAAAGAAGGACGATGCATGACATGCAAAAGACTCCAAATACAAGCAAGCACGCAGACAAGTGGCAGAGAGAGAGAAAGAGAGACCCGATACCAGTGTCGAAATCCAAGACATCGAATTCAATCACAAACACACACACACACACAACTGAACACTTTTTTGTATGTGTGCGTTCAAGTAAGGTCCAACACAGAGTAAGTAACGTGCCAATGCAACCTTTGCCCTTCACTGTTCAAAGGAACATATTGAACGTGTTTGTTCTAAGTTCTGCAGTAGCTGCTGATCAACATGTTCTGAGCAGCTCAAGCTCGCCAGGTTTCCTTTGAAGGAAATGTTCGGACTTTTGGGGATGATGCCGTTAGCAGCGCTTCCAAAGGAGTTCGGAAAACCCCAATGGCCAGGTGCATAAAGAGAAGCAACAACCAGCTCTGCAAGTCCAGTTGTTTTGTTCTTACGTTGATGGTTTGAGTCACCAAGTTCTTTACATTGGTGCTTGGGAAGAACTTCTCTTCAGAGGCGAGGCGCGGTTCTTGAGGCCGAGGTAGAGACTTGCAATCAACTCGTGCAGGACAAAATAAGTTTCTTGCCAAAGAGGCCCTGGCTTTTGTCTTAAGTGAGGAACATTGAAATCAATCTTGCTGCAGGTATTTTCCTTATGATCTAGGACTTCACGAATCTGGTACCTTGATGTTTCAGACCGGCTTTGGCCTCAACAGTTTTTGCACAAAGCAGATATTTAGATGCAACATCCAGAGGTCAAGAAGATTATTCTGTTCAGGAGGCTCATGTCTTTGATGATCAGGGATTTCTGCAATTCCTCCTGCGTTCCTGAATTTGTAGAGGCAGCAGCCCATGTCCTCAATTTTGCAAAGGACATGATGCTTGGGCTTGGACTGTAAAAAACATAGTGCTTGTCACACTCCTTTGGAAGAATTCGAGGCAAGTGCTGAGGGATCTGAAAGATTTTGGAAGGGAGATGAGATGTGCAACAGTTTTGCTGAGGAATTGCAGTCCTTTTGATCAACTATTTAGTACTGGTACTAACCCATAGAATGCATGTTTTTGAGGATTGCAGATACTGGTGCGTGCATTTGCGATGCCTGTCTCGCCGATGTCGATGGTGGCGATGGCGGCGACGTCTGTGGGGTGAACGGGTGTGGATTGAGGTTGAGAAGGTGGTGGAGGCAATGGCTGGGCTGCTGGTGGTGGTGGAGCGGTGGGCTGAGGTTCGGATGGCTGCTGTGACGGAGGGGGCTTTGCCTGGTCTTGCTGCTTGAGGTTGAGTGGGAGGTTGTGGATTGAGTGGGTGGTTGTGGTGGATGTGGAAATGCCGTCAAGGGTGTGGCCCACACACCTTGCGGAGGAGCATGGGTGGTTGGTGTCGTGGTATTCGATGATGTGGTGTTTGATGGAGGGGGAGCAGCGTGAGCATGTGTTGATCGTGGCAGGCTGTGTGGGTGGAGCTGACTATGGGTAGGACTGAAATTGTCCAGGTGGCGGTTGCGGAGTTGCATGTCGAAGCACAGGGAATTGTCCCGGTGGTGGAGCGGTTGGCTCCTGCTGCTGGTGTGCGAAAGGTGGTGCAGAATCAGTAGGCAAGGTCGAGGGTTGCATGTAAACTGGGATGTGTACTACAGTAGGTGGTGCTTGTGGGACGCAGGGTGTCGGGCCAGAGGCATGGTGTGAGGTGGTGGAGCTGTAGGTGGAGGTTGGTGAGCGTACAGTGGTGGCGCTGTCGAGGGCGCTGTGGGCTGCGGCGGATGGTATGGCCAAGGAAACTGCATGGCGGCAATCTGGGATGTGAGAAAGGCAGCAAAAATGATTAAAATTCATTGAAAAAAGCTCAACCATCTCATTGAAAAGTTCTGAGAATGTTCATAGAGTAATGCAACCATCTCAAGTTACGAACAATTCGAGGATATATATATATATGTAAAATTCGAGAATATGTACATGCTGGCTGGATAATCAGTGTTTCGTAACAGTTGACCTGGCAGTATTCAATCAGCGTTCTCATGCAAAACGTTTGATCAGAAACTGCATCCAGGTGTATAACGATCTGTTCAGTAAGTTGGCCTTCACAAGAAGGAGTGAAGTACGTGCCCGAAGGGATCACACAGCACACCACAGTGGGACGATGCCTGCTGGCCGATGCAATCGAATGAGGAAGGTAAGTGCAATAGCTGAAAGGAAGCAATAGACCTGTAGGTGACCCTTAGAAACAGGATGTGAAACACGCAGACATTGAAGCAGACGCACCTCCACATCCACCAATCCTTCCATTACCCCTTCACCAGCTCGATCGACTCGACCCACCAACCTTTCCTATGAAGCGACCAGCTGGACCTTGTGCGCCTCCTACTGATTTTGCACGCCACCAATCCCAATATCAGATCGACATGTATCTCAATGCAACCAACTCCGCAAGCCCGACCCACGCTTTCTCACCTACGTCGGCAAGCGCCTTCTTGCTGCCGATCTCACCGTCGACCACCTCTAGATGTCCAGCTCTACACCCACAGTGAATGGAACATTGAGGCTGAAACTTATGATGAAACCCATTTCTTCACCATTTTCATCCCTGACCTAGCCAACGGTGGCGATGCCCCTCAGCCTCCACTGAAGCGCCGCGAGACCACTACGACCCGAGCAATTGAGCATGTCTTCGGTGGCGTGAAAGGAAACCTCATCAATGTCCGTCGGGGTCGAATCCACGCCAGGGTTCTTTGCGCAGGGCTATCGTACCACTAGAGATTTGACTTATGACTGCCATGTGAAGTTGCCAGAATTCTTAGAGCTACGAATCTCCTCAACAAAAAACAAGGCAAAGGCCTTTGTGCACTTTATGGCTTTCGGCTCGGGCTACAAGTACACTCGCTAGCGGCGGCGAGGCCCGCGGCGATGAGTTGCTTCGAGACGACCGCGGGATTGTCAGGCGCTGCGCTTGCTGGGTGGTGCATCCGAAGAATTCAGTGCTGTGTGGCCTCACGTCGGCAGCTGATGCATTGCCGCCCACCAGTTTCATTTAATGCACTTTGGCACTGTTGTAGCGTTTGAAAAACAGACTTTTCTGGGCAGGATGGAGGCCACACATGCCTCCCTTCGGGCAGGCGTGTGTGTGTGTGTGTAACTCTTGGACTCACAGGGAACCTTTCGGTTTGGAGCAGGGGTGTGTGGCACTCTCGCCCTACCACACGCAACGAAGCTGTGGGCGAGAGTGGGAAGCAGGGCCTGATCAGCCCTGCGCACCTCCACTATTTAGGAAAACAGGAGGAATCGGTGCCTTTCCTTCTGTTTTTCCTCTAGTCTACTCTATAGGTTTGCAGGTAGGCCTCCAACCTTGTAACGTGGACCTTCGACCCGAATTCTTTGGCCTCTACCCACTAGCATTGGCCCCTAACTTTGGCTGTCTTGTGTGTCTTGTGTTTCTTGTGTTTCTTGTCATCAACTTAGCCTCCAACTTAAGAGCGATGATTTTAATTTGTGCATACTACCTGCCACCTACTAGCGATGGCCTCCAACCTTAGGCGTTGGCCTCCAACTGCCTTGCGATGGCCTCCAACCTCAAAGCGATGGCCTCTAACTAACTACCTGTCTGAAACCTGTACCCTTAGGAAATGGTTGCCTAGGCCGGCGTGTGGCAACCGCATTCACATCAGTACGCGTTTCTATCAGTGTGTAACCTTTGGAGTCACAAGGTTCCTTTTGGAATGTTTTTGTTGATGTCCCTTGTGGGCATTCTTGAAGTCACCGCTCAACGAAGACACTTCAAGTTTGCCGTGGTATGCAATCTGGACGCAGATTGCACGTACCCGCGAGAAGATGATCGCCGCTCACTTCTTCTTGGGCCCCGTTGTACCTCGAACAAGACGTCCAGCCGTTGCATCGGTTGGTTCATCATCGGCAGATATGCGTTGTCGTTTTGGATTTGTTGATTTGCAGTTGGAGGCCGTGTAGGTTTTGAGGAGGTTTGGACCGCCGTGCATGTACCTGTCCTGGTATCTGAGTTTTTTCACTCAGGCCGGCGTGTGGCAACCCGCAACCAAATCAATATGCATTTCTATAAGTGTGTCTTTTCTCGTGAGAGCCCTGGGTGAGCCCGCAGAGTGCCCCTGTGGACCCGTCGAGCGGGGGTATGTCGAACGTATCCCTTGCCCGGATACAAAGCAGCTCGCAGGGAGCGTATAGTAGGCTTATGCCAAAGTCATTTGCCAAGACCTGCGGGATTATTGAACTCCAAGGTGGCTTTATGCCTTTACGTGACCGCAGCGGTCTAAGCAGCCAGCCATGTTGGCGCGGCGTACGTGGCCGCAGCGGCCGAAGGTTCAAGGTTCATTGGAAACTGTCCCACTTAGGTGACATACAGCGTCTACATGTAAACTAGGTCTGCCCAGGTGTTTCTAATGAGGTTTGGCTTCATCGGTTCTCGTCCCCTCCATTTGTTTCCCTTTTCATCCTGTTCCCCTTCACACACATCTGTTTTCCTCTTTTCTCTCATGTCCTCCTGTCTTCATGTCTTGTCGTTTCATCCTTTCTTTCGTTTGCGCACACATCGGTCCTGGCCTTAGTGTGTACGCGCACTTCTACACACACTGTTAGCACAGGTTTCAGGTCGCCCAGGTCTTTACAAGTGGGGTTCATCGGTTGTCCCTGTGCACTTGGTTTCTCTTCCATTGCAACCACACACCTTTTTGTCCAGTCTTGTCCTCCTTCTCATGTCTTCATCCTTTTGTCTTTGCCGCGCGCGCATTTACACAACCATCCTAGCTTTGCCTCCCCTCGGGGAGGCGCGTGTGTGTGTGTGTGTAACCTTTGGAGTCACTAGGTTCCTTTTGGAACGTTTTTGTTGATGTCTCTTGTGGACATTCTTGAATTCACCGCTCATCGAAGACATTTCAAGTTTGCTGTGATATGCAATCTGGATGCAGATTGCACGTACCTGCGAGAAGATGATCACCACTCACTTCCTCTTGGGCCCCGTTGTACCTAGAACAAGACGTCCAGCCTTTGCATCGGTTCATCGTCGGCAGATATGCATTGTCGTTTTGGATTTGTCGATTTGCAGTTCGAGGCCGTGTAGGTTTTGAGGAGGTTTGGACCACGGTACATGTACCTGTCCTGGTTTCTGAGGTTTTTCACTTCGGCCGGCGTGTGGCAACCCGCAACCAAATCAGTACGCCGCATTCCTATAAGTGTGTGGAACCCTGCAAGTCACAGGGGGCCTTTTTGGTCTTTAGATGGCGGGGGGCCACCGGGTTTTTAGAGGAGCGGTGGCCAACGAAGACCTCCTCTGCGACCCGTGTGAACGTACCCGCCAACCTGTTACCTGTTGTTCTCGCTATGGTTTGCTTTCATGGTGGTTCATGTGATTCTGTTACTAACCGTAACTTGTGTTTCGTGTTTTGAGTTTTGCTGGCTTCCAAACATGTAGCGGTGGCCACCAACCTTGCTGCGATGGCCTCCGTTCTACTAGTGATGGCCTCCAACCTTGAGAGTCTTGCTGCCTTGAGTCTTGTTTCGCGTGCAACCAACCATGGTTATGGCCTCCAACCTGTTGCGATGGCCTCCCACCTAGATGCGCTGGCCTCCAAACTTGATGTAATGGTTTCCAACTTCCAACCTACTCCGACTTACTTTACCCTGGTGGGCTGGCGTGTGGCAAACCGCAAGTCCTTTCCGCACGCAATATCGAGAGAGAGTGTGTGTGTATATGTCACACCCTGTTTCTAAGGGTCGCCTACAGGTCTTTCCTTCCTTTCAGCTATTGCATTTATCTTCCTAATTCGATTGCGTCAGCAAGCAGGGCGGCGTAATTATCGTGTTCAGATGACCACGCCGAATGAAGCTAGTCTGAACACGGGATTCCAGGATTGGCCACCATTCTGGTGTATTTGCAACTCTCGTTTCACCACAATTGCTTTAAGTGCCGCTTGTACGCTGTTCTAGTCCTGTGTTTTGCAGCGAAGGGCTACTGCAGTAAGGGCTAACGAGTTCGCTGTCCCACTGTCTGAAGAAATGCTCACTCAGTTGAACAGTGAGCCTAAGTGTGTGCTGTAGGCTGGTGTGACAAAAAACCGTTTCACATCCTGCCCTTAGGGGGGAACAAATGTGTGTTCCTAGCCTCTCTTCTCTCTTTCGTGCGCATGTGCCAATGTCTTTTAGATGGTCATGTTGAGAGTGCATCTGTGAGATGCTGCTGTAGGGATAAAATTTGATTATGTTTTTAGTCTCGAACACTTACCTGTATGGGGGATGGTCATGTGTGAAGTGAAACTGTTTTTTTGCTGGTCTAACCTGTGATGCTTTTTGATTTCCCCTTTTGTCGAGTCTGTGTGAATAGGGCAGTCGATCCACGGTCATGAATCATGATTGCACGACAAAAACCACATGGTTTGGCCTTGTTTCGTGGCTCTGTTTGTTTTGGTCACGTGACAAGGCTTTTTAATGCCATCAGCCATAAGGATGCAAGTAATTATGCGCTGGTTTTGGTTAACGGAGCAGGATTGTTTTTCTCGTTCACTGTGACGCTTGATGTGGTTATTGTGCCAACTTGACACTTTTGTTACATCGGCTACTTTCTTGCTTCGTTGCGAACGGAATTGTGCGTTTTCATTTGGGTCGCTGTAGCCCTGATTTGCTTTCGGTTCTCAACAGTTCATTGAATGTTCAGTTAACATCACTGAAAAATAACTGTGACCTGAAGATGCTAGGAGCTTGCAGAAACGACAGTTGATGGTACTGTCACTCTCTTGGCATATTGATGGAAACATTGGTTGAAGGTCTGAAGGTTCTTCAGTGCTTTGAACCAAGGCAGTCTCGGAAACAATCCTCACAATAGTTTCTTCTGCGCATTCCTTATTGCTTTTGGCCTGCTTGCTTGAATCAAGTTTTCCACGCAGCTTTTAGAAATTGTATTTTCTTTTTCCCCAAACCGTTTTGTCATAAGAGGCAACCATGTTGCAGCGCCGAGCACTTCTTGATGCAGCAAGAATTGCTGGGAGCTTGCCCCAGACTGAAACACCGGAACTAACAAAAGCACATTCAGATATTCACGCATCAGCTTGCGGGGCAGCCTGGGCATGCAGCATAATTCATAGCAACATGTTGTACCCAAAAGCACACTTCAGCAATGCATGTGGTGAGGATTATTATGATAGTTTGTAGGTTGCTTGGCAGGTTCATCCTAAGATCTTTTGTTGCTACTTGCTGCTCCTCCACTTCAACTGCAATTACTCTCAATCCCCAAGAGCAGAGAATGAGAGCACTCTCAGCATACTGAGCTTCCTTTTGGAGGAGTGAACACAAGGAAACTATGGATCCAAGCTGGAACACAAATGTCTGAGGCTGCCGCGTGCACAGTTGATTCATGAGACGTCTGCAGCAGCCTTGCATCGAGCGCTGGACCTTTCGCTTGGAGGTGCTGCAAGACTTGGCGGGGATTATATATATAGCCTTCTCGATGTATGCTTTGTCAATCCCTCCACATTCAGGTGCTGGGAGCCCTGCCACGAATACTTCTGCAGAGATTCAACCCAACAGGAGGGATGGAATGTTGATGCAGGATAGCAGTGAAACTTGACAATGATTGATGCCAGTGTAGGACCACAGTGCTTTTCTTCAACATGGGAAGCAGACATGTGGAGGCACCGTCTGTCCAGACGCTAAATAGGTGGCTTTGCACCTTCGAGACTTCGAGGCTTGTGTTGTGAAGTATGAAGGTGTCAAGGCCTCATAAGCCTCATACTCTTATATATATGATTCTGGTGTGATGGGCGAGTGTGAGGTTGCTTGTAAGCTTAGGCAACCTATCAAAGCAAGGACACGGTAGCTATGAATGTGCGCAACTTAGCTTAGTCTTTTTTTCATTTTATTGTTTTCAGGGAAATCTGAGCCAGGTGGCAGGTTGTGGTGTCAGTGAGAACTTGGGAGGACATCAAGTCACGTGCCCAGCACAGGTCTTTGCTCCATGCTTGGACGTTCTCCAGTTGCTGCAGGGCTTTGTCGTGGCTTTTGATTGGCTAAGGTTGACATCATAGTTGCGGACAGGATGCTAGAAGCATTCCAGGCTGAGATGACGAAGTCATGATGAGGGGAACTTTAAGCTTTAATGCTATTGGTTCAAGAAAGTTGGAAACCGACAGTACGGAAAGTGCATGCCAAGTCTACTGTAGCACACTTTCCTATACACAAACTTAAGAAAGATCCGGCTAAACTTGGCTAAACTGAACTGTTCTAGCAAGTTTCACATTGCATGCTTGCGGGAGGCCAAATTTCCAAAATTGAAAGATGCTGAGAAGTCTGTTTGGTGCCTAGTATGAGTATCATTGCAACCTGTTAGAGCATGGGGCGGTGGCAGGTGTGTCGTAGGTTCCGAACATCATACTTGTATTTCTATGTCTCGCAAGCCAAACATGATTGTGAAAGACACTGGCAAAGCTGGTGTGAGGTGCGAGCTTTGAAGAAATTGGAAAAGCAAGCATCAGCATTGAAGCACGTCCTCAGCCCAACCCTTGGAGTTGTTTACCTTACTGATTCTGGTGGCTAATGATTTATTGCCTGGACAAGGTGCGAATAAAGAAGGCCTCTTCAGAGTTGAGTCTTTGTACGAGGACACTGACTTTGCACAGCAGGTGGGTGATTCAATTCGTTGATGTCTGCATTCACCAAAGTTAGGCATTTGGATCAACTCCTTTTAGCCTTTAGCCTTTTAGCCCATTGTTTGTTTCGATCACCTGGTGACGCCGGTGTAGTCTTCTTTGGCATCGCCCAAGTCTCATGTGGACAACGTCATTGCAGTGAATCGAATCTCCCGTTGTAGGTAACACGAGAAGAGCTTGAAAGCTGGACCTCTGAATTGTTCGAAAGCCTACATGAACCCCTTGAGGCCCCAGTGAAGTGTGGTTCCTCTGTGTCGAGATTGTGAAAGCAACATGCAGAGCTTTGGGAAACCTGAGACTGTGAAGGCTGCATTGAGAGTTGCAAACACAAGCTTTGACGAATTGGACGCAGTCCGGTCTTTGGTTCAGCTGAGGATGTTTTCACGCACTGTGCCGCATTCTGAGGTTGAAATGCTCGGCGGTGGATGGCGTATTCCCAAGATCCAGTCCCTCCTGGTCAATTACTTGAAGGCATGGTAGGGATATCAAAAGTTGTAAAAGAAGCCACTACAATTTGCCATTGGTTCTTTTCAGGAAAGGCGCTCCAAGAATGAAGCGTTGGCTCTGAGCCTGAAACATAGGCACCCCTGGCCAGACTGAGAAGGCTGAGCTGAAGAGCCAAGGTCAGCATGTCAATGGCGATGAGGCGAGTGGTGGTTCGATTCTGAATTGGCAACGAGCCTGAAGAAATACTGCGCATCAGCACAATGGAGGCCATGGCTACTGGTGGGGCATGGTATGGTGTGAATTCTTCAGTGAGCTTTCGAGCCAAGAAGAGCCTTTGCTTTGTTTTGCAAACATTGACAGACACGAATAGGTGCACCGATGCCCCTGACAATAAACTGCATGAAGCTCGAGTCCGGCTGTGCATCAAATGTTCGCTTGAGTGCCATCCAGGATCTACTTCACAGACATGACGTGCATGCCTTTGGTCCCTACCGTATCTCAAGCATTTGTTGATGGAAAAAAGCAGTGGTTCATGTATTGCCAAGGACTCATCGGTATGACATTGTGCTTGTGTTGGCTGCTGAATCACATATGCAAACATGCAGATAGTTGCTGTGCTACTTCATCTCGGTAGTGAGACAATCTAAAACTGCTAGTTTTTGGAGGGACCTGGAATACTTAAACATTCCAAGGCCGCTGAATACCTCCCAACCACATGAAGATGGTCTCTTAACTGCAACCAGATCCCGTCGAAGTTGGACGTCCAACATGCTATTATCCTCCTGGACGCGCAGGATGGACACGTGGTGTTGAACTCTTCCCAGCCTTCGTCCTTCCGTCACGCTTTGGAGATATGGTAATGTGTGCTTCATGCAGAAGACTGATAGAAATGAAGACACAGACAGAAACACACGCACACACACACACATAGACAGAGAGAGAGAGAGAGGGAGGGACAAAACATTGACTGCCTTTCTAGGGAAAGCTAAAAGCCAAAAAGACGGTGAAAATGAATGTGTCCTTTGATCTGAAGGCACAGCCCTTACGCTTTTTGTGTTCTTTCGGATGGCCACCAATAGCCCTTACGCCTTGGTGCCTAAAACCGTATGTTGCCTTCTTTCTACAGGCCACTTTGTTGGAGAATGGCAACCCTGTGTGCCATTGGGAGCAGTGAACTTTGGAAATGTGTGGGAGGATCTTCACATCAAAGCAGATAAGCCAAGGTTTGATGGAATCCATGCAGCGTCAGAAATGCACTTGCCTGAGATTCACAAAGCATAATTTTCGCTACACGTATTTTGCCTGTTTGCCGTTGCAAAGGCATGCTGATTTGCCCTTGATCTCATTGAAGTGTTTCTCTCAGCTGCAGCTCTCGAGCACCTTTACGTGGAGTATCAAGATCCTTGCAAGCCGTTAACATAAACACTGAGAGCAGGTGTTGTGCTGCACTGTGTTTTTTTGTTATTTGCTCCTTTGGCCCGCAAGGTTTGACTTGGATGGAAGTGGAGCTGGAAGCTCAGACTGAGTCTGCGACCGCTTGACAAGACTCTTTTGGCTTGGAAAAAGGCAAACAATGGAAGGTGTTGCCCCTTTTGAACAAATCCCTCCGAAGAGCACCTCATTGAAGGGGCCTAAACAACTTGCGTGGCCCTTCAGATATCACTTGACAGCGCTTCAGGTTGTTCAAGTCTCAAGTGCAACTGCAATCTTCGACAAGCACTTGACCAAGATCTTGACCACACGAATTGGCACACGCTGTAGATTGAGATATTCAATCTCTGCCAAGGCTGGTCCCCGTCAAAAGCATGACTGACAAGGACAGGCTTTAAGAGATGCTTCATTGCACTTGTTGCCACTTTCCCAATTCCCAACTCCATCTCATTTTGTGGGGTGTCAGATGGTTCATTGTGTTTGCAGAACAGCATTACTTCTCCTCAGAGCCACTGAATGTACCCTTTTGTATACTGTATATAGTCTATCCAAATCGAACAGGCTGGCAAGATGGCTCAGCTTTTCTGTCAGTACTCGGTTGGATTGGCCAGGACACAGGAGCAGCCAACTTGACAGAGGCTTTTGTCTGCAAAGCGAGACATGTGTCTCCCAAAGAGCCTTGCCAGGATGGAGCAAACCAAACAGACCCACAGCCGGACACCTCTGAGGCTGCCTCTTCTACATAAAGCCTTCCGAGTGGTAGTGAGTTTCAAAGGCGTTTTTGTGAGGAGAAAGAGTAGCCAAGTCAGCCAAGTAAACATATCAAGTGAGCATAGAAGCGTCCCATCTTTGCTTGCAAGTTATTGTCTATTTGTGATAGAGTTTGCAGAGCTCAGACTCCAGGGGGATGAGGATGGCAAAGAGGCTGATGGTGGCAAGGAGGACTTGCCCTTTGACAGGAAACTAGAAACTGTGGAACCTGAGCATCGGATTGCCCATGTCTTGTATGCCTGGACTCGGACAGTGAGTTGCATCCATCCACTTGACCCCGCAGCCTATTTTTTTATAGTTTAATTCAGACTGGTTGCCCACTGCACTGAAGCGCGTTTCTTTGCTGCTGGCAACGTTTGGCTGAATGGTAGGCAAGTGACCGTCAGTATCTTTGTGGAATACCCAAACCAACAACTTTCTAGCAGGCCATGCAAGCTAAAGAAATGGTGAAACGCTCCGTTTGATTTGACCAAAAGTTCCCTTTCGTTCATTGCCATAAATTGTGTTCATTGATCTAAATAAATGCCTGGATTCAACGCTTGCTGTCATGAGAGGCGGATGCCATACTGAAATTTCTCGCAGAGTGTCGCAGAGCTCAACAGCCACAGAATGGGTGGACGATTCAGCTACTCAAGCTCTTTGTCTGCGGCATCGGAACAAGTGCGGAGTATTTTGTTTTCTATTGTGGTGTTGTGAAGCGGTTAACTCTGTTTGGAAGTTCTGGGCAAGCAGATGTCTGTGGAGGTCTGCATGAATTGTCATGCACGTTTTGGAGTCATGCAATTCCGTCGAAAGCATCACTGCCGAAGATGCGGAAAGGCGGGAGAAAAGCATTTTCGATCACGGCCTTTTCATTATGGGTTTGGATTTCTGTAGCTTCGGCTGAGAAGCCAGGGCAGCTTTTGACTTGCAAGAAGTTTGGATTTAGGTGGTTTGCAACTCCTGTTCACGATCGCGTGAACTAGTTGCAGATTATCATCCAGTTCAACCTCAAAGAGTGTGCAGCTTTGCAAGCTTTCAAACCAGATTGCGAACAGCTACAACTATATAGTTGCACAGCACACAACAACATTTTTTTTTTAAAGTAACACGTTTGATTCTATGTGTGCAGTGGAGTTTGTATACGCGAATGCAGTTTGCAAGGTTTGCAATAGTTGCGTAGCCTCTCCAACAGTTCCAGAGATTCCAGAGGAGGCTGGCTTTGTTGATGTCGGGACAGTTTATTGATAGTTTTCAATTTCAGGCAGCAAAAGCAGCTTTGGAGGCTGCAAAGTCAGGAAAATATGCAAAGCCACTCAGCACGACGCCCAGCTAGGGACACTGTGGATCGAGACAGAGTGCCCGGCATGAACTTCATGCTTGGTCGCGAGGTGCCACTTCTTTGGGAGGAATGCCTGTGCCAACTGGCGATGAGCATCGAGAGTTTTGCACGCTACAGGCCAGTTTAGCTTTGGTCGACACAGATACACGAGCACAATATGAACGCCCAGTTTGCGCAACTGCTCACTTAGAAAGTAGTATAGAAGGCATGCAGTATGCACTATATATGCACCATTTCCACATTGGCCTATTTTCCCACTAGGGGCTCCTGGCCTTACTACTAGGAACAAGAAGCTATTAGGGGCTCCTGGCATCGCTACTAGGAGCAAGGACGCTACTAGGGTGGATTCAGTGCGAGATGGTTGCTAGGCTGCATGGGTCTGGAGGTGTTGCCGCCAGGTACGAGTGATTGAAGCCAAAGGATTGCTGGCAGCTGACTACAATCTAGTCTCCAAAAAAAGCAGCTACCTCTGACGCTTGCTGGGAGCGTTTGGCTGCGCAGCTTAGCTGGTAGTTGCTAAGGTTCTGATCCTTATTGCCTTATTCGCGTGGATCACGGAGTGCAGGTGCTGTGTTAGTGGGGAGTCAATGATGAGCTAGCTTGCTGTAGCAGGTGAGGACTTGCACTGTGAGCGCCACGCTGGAGCCCCGCAGAGAGCACAGACTGTGAAGACACCGGGAGGGTTTGGAGAGAACGCGCACTTCACACGTGAGGCTGGGATGTAACTACAGCTTTTCGACTGAGTAGAGCGCATTCCTGTCTTCACTTGGAGGCGGAAGTCTTGGAATTCTTGATGCTGTGTCTTCGTTTGCCATGCTTTGCCAGGTTTGGGATGAGGATATGCTTTTTTCAAGCCAAAATGCAACGATGATTCATAACGGCTTTTACTGACCGAAATACCGTGATTCTCACGAACGCTTTCCTGCAGGATACTGCCACTCGGGATGATGCTCTTGGATTTCTTGATCTCCCACTGTCGAAAGTGGCTTGATTCTGACTTGTCAAACTAGATTAACAGTCGCGGGAGTTTGGAGTGTGCCACTTTGAGGTTCCCCTGTCAAAGCCTTTGCGTGGCTGGGCAACTTGCTTGAACAGTTCCGTTTGCTCTTCGCTGGAATTCCGCAGCAGGATTCGTGAAGGAAAGTGCTTGAGTTGGAGGTACCACTTCGGCCGCCAGAAGCGCAACTACTTCCTGGAGAAGAAGGGGTGCGACCGGCGAAAGGCGCAGGAGCTGTGCTTTTGGAGGCCGGACATGTTTCAGAGAAGTTCATGGAAATGCTTCAATTCTCATAAGCACAGAGCAGTTCAGGCTCCACATGCACCGTACTTCGATTTCCATTTCCAATCGGTCATCAGGGTCTCCTAGTGTTGAGGGACTCAATGCCTTGCAAAAACTAGCTAGTTTCCCCCTTCGTCACGGGGTGCCCGGCACTTTTGTGCTTTTTTCTTTTTTTCGTAGAACTCGGACATGAGGAGCGAAATGTAACATGTACGTATATACCGTATGGTGTGGGGGGGTTTGGGTTGTGGGGTGGGTAATAGCGTACGTGCTACGTGGAACACGGACATGATGAGCAATGCTCTACGCAGAACACGGACATGATTATCAACGCTTCTGTAACAAAGCATGTTGTTGCGTAGCACAATTCTACAGCGGACGCACGCAGACGTGCGATTGGTGTACGTATGGTCGGAATGCCACGGCCCCGAAGAGACCTTGGCGAAGCAGAAAGAAAGCCTGAGTAAAGATGGATGTGTCCTCCGGCTGCGACTTATGTGCGCCCAGGAGCGACACTGTGTCTAGTATCTATATAATCCAGCCGAGCACCATAGCTTTGTTAGTACAGCTAGGGGAACGGTCGCTGCGCCATTTTCTTAATCCGCAGAGAGACCCGTGATGTCAGAATCTACACACTCGGGAAATGCGTACAGAACTGATGGTGGTTTGCTACACGCCAGCCTGAGTAAAAAGCCTAAGGGGCCAGGGTGAGTAAGTATGTAAAGCGGTCTGAGCATGAATCCTCCAAAACCTTGAGCTTGCAAATCTCAAAGCGGTAAGTCTTGAAGTTGCAAAGCTCGAGAGAAGTGACGAGATCGACGACGAAAGCATTAGCAGCACTGTACTGCATCACGACCTCTTCAACCTGAAGCAGCCTCCAAGACTCTAGGAGTGGAGCGCAATTACCAAACATAATCAGTTGCAGGTGCACCAGGTCGATCAGACCTGGCTTCCACCATCACGCGTAGCTTCTTTGGCATGCGTTTGCGTGATGTCCGCAAGCCCCCTGAGGGAAAGGAGCAAAAAGTTAAAGACCTGACCAAAGGGACCCCTCTGAGTCCAAGAGTTACACACACACACGCACAGCTCTGACTGAGGGCTCTGACTGATGTGTGCTGCGCACAAAACGGACAAAAGAGAGAACATGACAAGAGGACACGAGAAGACAAAAGGTATGTAGTGCTGATGAAAGGGTAACGAGGTGAACAGGGACACCCGATGAACCAAACCTCCTTATAAAAGAACCTGGACCGCCTGTCACCAAGTTTGCATGTCGAAGTGCACGTGCACACCAAGGGCCGGACGGATGTGCGTGCAAAAGAAGGAAGGGAGTGAGATGACCAGACATGAAAGCGGAGAGGACATGAAACGAAAGAAGGAAAGCAGTGTGTGTGTAACCCTTGGACTCACAGGGCACTTTTCGGTGTTGTGCAGGGGGGCCAGGCCTGTCACATCCTACCTGGCCCAACGAAGCTGGGATGTGACAGGGGATGCATCAAGGGACGCCGTGATGTGTACCTGCACGTTGGTTTTGTACTTGTTCCACTATTAGGAGAACAGGAGGAAATGGTACTCGACACGCTTGTGTGTCGGTGCCTTTCCTTCTGTTTTCCTCTAGTCTACTCTATAGGTTTGCAGGTAGGCCCCCAACCTTGTAACGTGGACCTTCAACCCAAACTTTTGGGACCCTACCCACTAGCATTGGCTCCTAACTTTGGCTGTCTTGTGTGTCTTGTGTTTCTTGTGTTTCTTGTAACCTGGTAGCACTGGCCTCCAACCTGGTACTATGGCCTCCAACCCACTAGCGACGACCTCCAACTTTGCTGCTCGCTGTCACTTTTTCACTTTTGTTTTGCTTGTGCGTACTACCACCTACTAGCGACGGCCTCCAACCTTAGGGGTTGGCCCCCAACGGCCTTGCGATGGCCTCCAACCAAAAGGCGATGGCCTTTAACCTACTACTTGTCACTTTTGTGCATACTACCCACCACCAACTAGCGACGGCCTCCAACCTTAGGTGTTGGCCCCCAACGGCCTTGCGATGACCTCCAACCAAAAAGCGATGGCCTTTAACCTACTATTTGTCACTTTTGTTTTGCTCGTGCATACTACCCACCACCTACTAGCGACGGCCTCCAACCTTAGGTCTTGGCCCGCAACGGCCTTGCAATGGCCTTCAACCAAAAAGCGATGGCCTTAACCTACTATTTGTCACTTTTGTTGGTTTGTGCATACTACCTACCACCTACTAGCGACGGCCTCCAACCTCCAACCTTAGGCGTTGACCCCCAACGGCCTTGCGATGACCTCCAACCTAAAAGCGATGGCCTTTGACCTATTATTCGCCCTGGTACCCAGCAACTGGTAACCTAGGCCGGCGTGTGGCGCCGCATTCACATCAGTATGCATTTCTATAAGTGTGTCTCTCCTAACGATAGCCCAGAGTGACCCCGCAGAGTGGCCCCTGTGGACCCGTTGAACGGGTGTTTGTCGACTGTATCCCTTGCCTGGATACAAAGCAGTCCGCAGCGGACAAAGCAGGCTTAGGCCAAAGTTATTTGCCAAGACTTGTCGGATTATTGAGTTCCAAGCTGGCTCAAGCCTTTATGTGACCGCAGCGGTCCAAGCTGGCTTAACGACCAAAGAACGTCAGAAGCTGGTATGTGGCTGTAGTGTTTGTGCCTTCATGGAAGAGGTCAGTCAAACACCTATGAAGCCTTGCCGCCAAGGACGGTGGGACCTCGGTGTTGTCAGGTTTGGCGCAGCCAAGTTCTCCCTCTAGTTTTACCTGGGTGGGGCAAGGGCTCCCGCAGTGTGTCTCAAGGGCCTGCAGCTCGTCTTGTGGAGCGCGCAAGGCTAGATGAAAGAAATCTAAATTGCCCACGTGGATGTTTAGGGGCCAGTGCACGAATGGCCATGTGTGAAGGGTGTGATTCATTTCGAATGGCTGCCTGCGCAGACTCAGAAAGCAACTGGGTGGATCGTTCATGTTGTGTTGGGCCAAAGACACCATCGGATCGCACTCTATGCAAGATGGAGGTAGTTTGGCGCGACGAATTTGGCTCCTGGGTTGCCAGCGACGCGCCGGCCCGCTCCTTCCCATAGTGCATGTGCACTAGAAGGTTGCGGCAGGCTCAGAAGCTGCTTCTTGTACTACATTTGTACTACAAAATTACATTGCGCTACAAAGTTGCCGGTTCTGAAGTATAGCTCCCAAAGCTGCTTCCTGCGCTGCGTGTGTACTACAAAGCTGCCAGTTCTGAGGCACAGCTGCCTGTACTACTACCTGTATACTATAAAGTCACAAGTCCTGAGGCCGCGCTTGGCGACCATTATGCACTCCAGCGACGTCCACCTGGATTGTTAACGACGGTCATACGATTTGGCGTAGTGATTTTCGACGGCAGTTGCACACATTGGCAACGTCCACCTTGATTCTCAACGACAGTTACACACTTTGAATTGGCGCCTTCCACCTTCATTTTCGATGACAGTTGCGCACTTTGGCGCCTTCCACTTCCGGCACGGAACCATTGATATTCGACGTTACACACTTCGACGACAGTCCCGCACTTTTGCAATCGCTTTCGTGACAGGCCACTTCCAGCTTCAACTGCCATTTTCGACGACAGTTGCGCGCCATGACCACTTCCACCAATCTTCGACGGGTTGCGCGCTTTAGCAGTGGCAACTCGACGCGCGCAATCTCCCAAGTTGTTCACAAGTGCACAAAAGATCGCGTGTCACTGCGCGCTTGAGCCCTTCACGCGCGCGCGATCCCCGCAAAAAGTGCCCAAAGGATCCAAAGGACAACGAGCCAAGTTCGTATTCACCTCATGTCTAGGGGTCGACGCGGACAATCTCCGCAAAGGGTTCACCAAGAACACAAGTCACTTCACCTTATGCCCAGGTAACATCAAGGCGCCGAAACGCAGCTTTCGCGCGAGACTTCCGCCGATTTCTGAACATGTCCAAAAGTCACGGTTCTGCGCCTGTCACGAAATCAGAGCCCGTCAAAGATTACCACCAAAGTGCTGCGCCTGCCACGAAACCTACACATCGAAGCAAAACCGCTCCGATCCCTGGTGCCTGTCACGAAAAGCCGACTTTGAACCACCAAAGCACGAGGTTTCCCTTGCGCCTGCCACGAAAAGTGACCGCCGTGCCAGAAAATGCGCACGGCGCCACAACGAGAGCGCGGTCGCGACAAGCGCCCGCCGCGCCCCGCCAGATTTTGTGAGCCTGCGCAGTCGAGGTGCACTTCGAAGATTTCGTGAGGCATGAATGTACTGTAATTAGCAACGGGCTAGCCGCACACGAACGTGCTATGCCTCGATTAGACACCGGCCCTGAACTATTTCCGTAAGAATCCCTAGTGTGACCACACTGTTTGGGGAATAAAGAGAACACATTGCTGAAGCTCACAGAAAATCCACAACTCTGGAAGTGGTGCTTGTGTGTCCGTGAAGGTGCAGATGTTGGAGGTGAAGCAGCTGAGACGCTTCCAAGCGTTTGTATCACCTTTGCCACCGGTACCTCCTCCGTTTGGCGCCAAGGTGTCAACGTGTAAGGAGTTGTGGATCTGACCAAACTCGATATGTTCCCACAAACATCTAAGACAAAGACACATTCAATTCATCAACTTGCGATAAAACAATTGCCCAAGGCCGCCGCACTTTGACATTGATGCGGTATATGGACCTGCCATGCACTTGGTGGATTTGATTTGGACACTTGGCTTCAGCCTCCACGCCTTTGCCTTGATTAATAAATTACACATTCCGCGACCAACTTGCTTGCGAAAGGAATCGCTTTATCTCTCCACTTCTTTTTGGAACACTAGGCTAGGCTTGGTTCAGAGCCCGTGAATTTGTGTAAGTTGTTTTTGCCTTTTCGGAGAGCCGCAGATTTGCTGTTTTGGACAAGTCCGAAGCACTCGCTCTTTGCTCTTCTGCTGTGGAACCTGGGTGCGAGATATTTTCTTCTGTACCTTGATTGAATTTGAGAAGAAGCGACCAAGGGAAGACTGATATGCAAACAGGGAGTTTTGCCGTGGCTTTTGCGTAGCTTTGCAGGTTGGTTTGTCAGGATTGTGATTGGGTCTAGGTCCTAGATGGCACTTTTGAGAGTCAAGACATAGTGAGTTGGGGCTCCTGGGGAGCCCAGATTCTTGATGGGTCGAGTGGTGCTTCTGACTTGTAGATACGGGAGTCTTGTGTACAATGTAGACAAGTACATGCACAAGTAATACAAGTATGTGTTGAAATTCACCTCATCCCTGTGGACCCCGTAGCGTGTACTCTCAAGGTAGAGTTAAAAGGTACGGTTAGCGGCTAGTCAGGGTTAGCTAGTAGATTAGAGCTGATCCTGTAAAATACAGGTTATCAGCCGTAGGCTAACTAGAGTAGAGCTATGGACCCGATGAACGATGACGTCGCGCCGAACACCTACGGAAATGGTTTTGACATTGTTCCAAGTTTACCCAACAGAGCAGGCAGTTGCTCAGGTGGCAGCAATGGATCCAAGGGTAGCTTCGGAGGTGTACCAACAGATGCTAGACAGTGGTGGCAGTGTTACTCTCCAAGAAGCAACGCGAGCTACCCTAGCAGGTATGCCGTCAGCCACCGTAACGGGTGCGCCAACAGTAAACAACTTGTTGGCGATGACTCGGTTCAACGTCGTCAACGTGAATACATCAACAGGTGATGAAGAACTACGACGGGAACTACAACAACGTGAGTTTTTACTCAGTGAGCATGCCAGGAGGGAAGCAGAACTCGAAGCGCTGCGTTTTAGGCAAATATATGAAAGAGAAGCTTCCGAATCCATAGCAGCAACAAAAGTTGCGGCAGAGCAGGCAATGTTGAATGTTCAACAGAGGGCTCAACAGCAGGAACAAAGTGTTCAGCAAATGGCTCAACAGCAAGACAACGTTGCGATCAAACGGTTGCAAGGTACGTTGGAAGAGCAGAGAGAACATTTCCAACAACGGCTAGCTCAGGCAACTATGGCTCGCGAAAGGGTTGTACAAGAGAAGAACGCCTTAGCAGAAGAAGGCAATATGTTTGTTGAAAGGTTGAAATCTGAACACCGTCAGTATGTCGAGCAGCAAGAATCTAGACTCAAGGCGGCAGTAGAGGCAACAGAGCAAGCCAGATCTACATCAGCCGAAGAAGCCCGAAAGGTTATAGATCTAGATTTCAAGCGCGAAGAGCTGACAAGTTCATTGGCAATTGCGCAGGCCAAAATCAAGTCGCTTATTAGCGAAATGGAAGCAGCCAAGAAGCAGAACGATGTTGACAAGGGATATCAAGAGCAAACCATTGTTGAACTACGAAAGGACAATGCAATGTTGAAAGGTGAAATGGATGAGCTCAGACGTGTTGTGCAGGCCTTAACAGACAGGGAAGAAGAGCGCAAAGAAACCAAGTGCAAGGCACAAGCCGAAAGCCCCGTTAAACCAGGGCCACAACATCCTGAGCCACCTCCACTTCATGCTCAAGCCGATATTTTCGCTATTGGTCAACCCCGTTCACTTGGACCTCTTCGTACGGAAGGCCCAATTCCAGCAACCGTAGAAGGTTCGCCCCCAGATGCAGGCGGAATTCCCGTAAAGACAGCAAGGATGCAAATGCAGCCAATCGCAATACAGGATTTCCTTCAATGTTCTCTGGAACAGGGGCGACTGCAACAGAGCAAGCTACAGATTCGACGGACAAGCGAAAAGTTGATGCACCAGATCCTTGGACAGAATATCGGAAGAAGTCGGCGCAATACAACTTCAGCGATGACCCTTTGTACAAAGGCTCCTTTAACCAGGACGCCAAACAAGACAAAGATGACCGCAAAGAAGAAGGGCCGGCATCTCAGGTACGAACTCCCCAAGAACAAGATCTAGGTGAAATTATTAAGAGAGCCTTGCTAGAGGGGTTTAAAGGTGCTAAAAGCAAAGACCAAAATAAACCCAAGGCAAAAGAGGCAGATAGGATAGACCTTCCCGAGTTTCCAAGTCCTGACAGGTACCGCACTTGGAGGGCCGCAGTTCGCGAAGCGATTCGGTCCGCGTCCGATGGGCGCTTGAGGTTTACGCCGTTCAAGAGGACAAATCTAAGCTTTGTTCTGAGCTGGCTGACCCAGGCAAGTTTCGGACCTTAGGTACGAAAGAAACTCCTTGCTGCTTTGACTAAGGTCGCCAAAGGTGAACTGTCTCACAAATCCTTAACTACAAGGAATCTGAGGCACAGCAGGGTAGGATCGTCCGTGGTCGTCAGGTTTTGCTCATGTTTGAAGTCCATTCCAAAACTAGTGAAGAAGCGGGTGCATTGTATGGCACTGAGGACCTCCTGAAGATCTCGCTTGATAGCGATGACTTGAAGTCCTTTCTTAGGAAATGGGAAAGTGTTTTGACTGGAATGAGTCATGTACCCGACCCAGCTACACTAAAGGATCTTTTCTACAGAGAGGTCAGGAAGTTCCGTAAACTCAGATTTGATCTTGATGTCTATGAACGTGCCCCAGAGGGAAGCAGTGACAGAAGTTATGAGTTTCTCATCAATTCTGTTAGGCGATATCTTGATAGAGAAAGGCTTAGGACCAATCGAGAGAAAATCGCCCAATCGCATTCAGCAAAGTATGCAAACCCAGCGCCACATGACAAACGCACAAGAAGCCCAAGTTATGGCAAACGAAGTACGAAGGGTGACAACAGCAATCAATGCTATGAGTTCGCCAAGACTGGCAAGTGCAAGTATGGAAGCAAATGCAAGTACTCGCGCGACTCTA